AGAATAGACAAATATATTATAAGGGCAAATTAATAATTTTAGGATTTTTAAATATAATCAAAATTAAAAAATTAAAGCATTTTAAAATATTTAATTGAATATTCCTAATAGGGCTAAAAATTAGACTAAAGTATAGGTTTTAAAAATAAAAGGGAGGTTTATGCAATTTTAGCAAAATTGAGGGAGAAAATTGTATTTAACTCTGATTAAAATAAATGGTATTGGCTATTATTTCATTCTAGCTATATACCATAGTAATTAAATAAGGAAGATTACTCAAATTAGATGTTGAAAAAATGATTCAAATTGGAAGAAGAAGGAATGAATAATTAAACAATAAAAAAATTTTAAAATAAAACATTATAAGCGGGTTAGCTTGCTAGTTGGTGGGCTCGGGTTAAATGGTGCAAGCTAAAAACTGGTTAACGTCTAACCGAGCTCCAAATTATACAACTAACCCAGCACTCTTTGGTAGGGTTACCCACAAGCTCGATTCATATTACCAGTTCTAATTGAAATTGAGAAAATACAACAATTTAATGAAAAAGGTCCCAAAAATTATGAGCTTATACTTTTACCTGACATGTCAAGTTTGGATACAAGTGAAAATAAATCAATAAGAAATGAACTAACTTATGATTGGGTTGCATTATATGATAAATTGATAAAATTGCTTTAAAGCCTTACTTTCAAGAAAAAGAAGATTTATGCAAAAATTATTGATGCCATTAAATATGATAAAGGAGTTTTTTTTCATGTATAGATATGGTGGTATTGGGAGGACATATATTTGGAGGACACTTTCTGTTTCATTAAGATTTAAAGGTAAAATAGCTCTCAATATAGCATCAAGTAGGATAGCCTTTCTAATGCTACTAGGAGAACATACAACTAACTCAAATTTTATATTCCTTTTTCTATAATTGAAGACACTATATGTAGTATGAAACATGGGAGCAAGTTGGCTAAATTATTAGCTCACACATAATTGATTATATGAGATGAGGCTCTAATGGCACAAAATTTTTGTCTTGAAGCTCTTACAGATACCTAAAGGATATTCTAAAGTCATGCAACCTATTAACTGGTGATCTTCCTTTTAAAGAAAAAGTTGATGTGTTATGTGGAGATTTCAGGCAAATCTAGCCTTCCTGTTATTGTAGGTAGGTTAAGAGAAGACATTGTTTTTGTAACTATTAACTTTTTGTTTTGGAACAATTGTCAACTTATAATAGTAACAATAGATATGAAACTTCTATAAACAAATAATTGAGCATCTATTAGTGCTCTTTAGAATTTTGTTGATTGAATTATCTCAATTGTAGATGAAATTGTTGTTGGAGATAATTAAAGATTTATAAATATTAAGATCCTAACTAATTTATTACAAGATGGTTAAGATAATCCAGTAAAGTCTATTGTTGATTTGTCTTTCTCAAATTTTTTTATCAATATCTATAATTCTTCATATTTTAGAGATAGGCTATATTAGCCTCGATGTAGGTTGTGGGTAAAAAAGTAAACAAATACATGTTGTCTTTGTTTCCCAGAGAGAAAGTTGTATACTTGAGTTTTGATAGCGTTATTAAAGATGATAGAGATATGAATTTACTTAAAGAAATTCCACTTTACACATTCTCTAAATTAAATTACAATGTCAAGCCTCTTGAATTATAAAACAAGGTTTAAAGTGAGTGCCTCAATATTAATGCAAATCGAAAAATTGATTAGTTTATGGGTTATGCAATGATACACGCTTTATAGTTACATGAGCAAGAAAACGTGTTATTGAAGCCCGATAAATGCTTAGATCAATTACAAGGATGAAAGTATGTATACCACGTATTATTATGTGTCCATCTGATTTAAATTTGTCATTTACTATGAGAAGGATGTAGTTTTGCATTATATTAACCTCTGCAATGCCAATTAATAAGAGCTAGGATTTGATCCCGTGGTATATTAGTTTGTACATATCATCCTGTTTTTCACCAATGACTAATTATATGTTGTTGTTTCTTGTGTTAAAAAATAAAAGTCTAAAAATATTAGTTCTTGATAAGAATAGTCACTCTAGAGATATAACTTTTAATATCGTTTATAAGAATGTCTTCAATAATTTAATCTAAATAATTATGAATTTTTGTTAATCTGCCTCCTATCATATTCATTTACATAATATGCATTTAGTTTTTATCATCTGTTTTACTTTAATATGTATATTTAATGTTAATGATTATAATTATATAGCCCCACTATGTATAGGATTATATATGGGTAAAATATCTACTTCAAGTTATTTTTTCAAACTAATTTATAAAAATTGTAGTATGAAACTTATGCATTGGACAGGTTACTTTACTAGTTATGTGTAAGAAGTTGGGGACTTAGGATAATGGAGAGATTTTTGGAGATGAGAAAGTTAGGTATAATTTGCTTATAATTTTTAAATTTTAAATCAAAACTTTGAAATTGTAAATAAATTAACAAAAAATTGGGATAATGAAGATATATTTGGGATGGAATAGTTTTCTATTTATTTGTTTATATTTTAAAAAATAAGAGGATAAATGACAATATTCTACTTTTATATATAGTTTACTTAATTTGAAATGTTATTATATTAGTTATCATGATAAATAATTTATCATTCTTATTTCTATCTTGCCATGATCTCTTGGTTTACAAAATTAAATATTTAAAAATAGGAATAAGATTATAGGGTGTTACAATGATGGGATGGGAGGGTAAGAGAGATAATTAGATAGGGATGAGGAAAAAACTGAATTAAAATAAATAAGTTTTTAAAATAGAAATTGGAAATTACTAAAATAAGTTAATAGAATTAAATGAAGTTGATGTGATGCTTTATATTTGCAGTATTTTGAAAAAATGACATGTGTTGAACTTGAAAGGTGCTTGTAGTTCTACTTTTATATAGATATATAGATAATATTTAAATTGTTAAATATTAAAATATTTAATATTTTAATAATATTTATTAAATTTTATTATAATAATACTTCAAGGTGCTCGTCATTTATGAAAAAAAGAGTCAAGTGACAAATTAGTACTATATGACATGGTTAGAATCCTACTTGTTACTATGAGTTAGCTCCACTCATATACCATATCAATAAAAATTGACAAAGTTAACGAGTGATTAATAAAAACATTTTTTGGTCATTGAAAAATGGTTCAAAAAAACAATTGCCGTACTTATAAGTATGGTGCCTTGCATTATTCGAAAAAATGTTCAAATAAATCTTAACCTTGAAATATTTTGAAAAAAAAATATAGTAATACAAATGTTATGTGATTAAAATATCAGTACTCCTTAGATATGATTGTGAACACCATATTATACATTTATAATAATAACATCTCAAAAATCCTTTCTCCATGTTGCACAATGTTTAATAACTTATCAGTAATATAATTTGTTATTATTTTTAAGTTATACTTAATATGGATATTGATGTGTTGATAACTAGACTGTACCTATATATTGTTGGCAAAAAAAATTGTAAATGTATATTTTAGATGGAATTTCAGATGAATTATTTTTTCCCAGCAAGATAAATTATATTATTTATAACATATAATAATTAGCAATAAATTTTATATCATATCAATACCACCCATTAATAAATTTTTTATTACATGCGTAGACATATGTTGACTGGCAGCGGTTAGAATTCATTTCATCATTTGATAATTTCGAATTGAGTCACATGCCCGTAAAGCAAACCTGCCCTTTGATTTGTTTATTTTCCCCCTATTACGTGGCTTTGCCAAGGAATCTGAGGTCTTCCGAACCCATTCCTTCATTCTTAAGATGGATAGGCTCTAAAAAAATTTAGGGATAGCTGTAGCTTGCCCTTTTTTGGTCTTTTACCTTCCTCTCTTTACTTTTTAGCCTTTCAATTGTCAATTTCAATTGCGAAGCTTACACAAAAAGCCCTCTCGAACACAGCGCACTATACACGGGATTCCAACCGTGCAACGCATAACGAGTTTTTATCAATTTCACCTTCCATGAATGCTTTTCTAACATTATTATAATTCCCCGGCCCCTACATCTATACTGATCATAAACGGGAAATGGGAGGGAACCCTTAACAATTAGCCTCAAATATGAAAATCAGAATGAAAACAATGCTACATGCAATATAAAGATCAGCATCATCTTAATATTTTTCAACACATTCTCATCATCTCTCCATTACCATTGAGTAATCTAAGCCCCCGATTCTCATAGATTTTAACATGCATACGGTTTTAATTAAAAAAAAAAAGTCATCGAGACCGTTGGCATGCTGCGGCGGATCCCATTGTTCTTTTTTTCTTTTTTAATATATGGACATATGATCATAACCTTATACTCAAGCTGGTCAGGGTATCCATGACTTTATGGCTAGCTAGCGCAATCCAACTAATGACACTCGTATACCGTGCCATAATATGGAATGCATGGATTCAATTAAATCATGGGAGTTAAACCTTACATAATCAGGGGTCCTGCGAGTAATATCTTCATTTCCTTTTCTTGGACAAATTCGAGTGACATCCTTGAAGTATAAATATGTGATTCCTATTCATTTTCTCGGCTTATTGTTTATTTTTCATTATTTTACTTTGTATTGATTTTCTCTTTTGCAAAATTTTGCATCAATTAATTTACGTGTATTAATTGTCGTTTACAGATGTCTGTGTGTTTGTAGAAAGTGTGCAATAATTAATTATTTTGTATCGGCTGCATGTGATTGAACGTGACGGAATGAGAGTCTGGAATGGATGTTAGGTGTGAACATGAAAATGATTGGCCGTGGGTGGGTTGGGCTGCATGCTTTGATTAAATAGATTTTGCACAGCAGTAAACAATTGAATGGAGACGCATGAACACGTTGCTTGAGCCCGTATATTTTATTTTATTATTTGGTCATCTCTTCCAATAAATATGACCTTTCAGAAGGGCCTCCTTATTGCTTCCTCTCTGTAATATCCCATCGCATCATAAGTCGTCCCTGATTGTGTGATTCTGTTTGGGATACATAAAAATAAACATGGAACCCGAGCCTTACTTCCCTTGTTTTGATGCTTCCTTGTGTTTAAGCAGCAGATGGTGGTCTAGGGAGACGAAGGCGGTGGTGACGGGAGGGAACAGGGGGATAGGGTATGCTTTGGTGAAGCGCCTTGCAGAATTGGGAGCGACGGTCATCTTAGCGGCCAGGAACAGAGAGAAAGGAGAGGCTGCATTGATGTCACTCCGAGCGGAAGGTCTTGCTGATGTTCATTTTCTGTTACTGGATGTGTCTGATTCCCTTTCTATCACTGCCTTTGCATCCGCCTTCAAAGCCAGATTTGGACCCACCTTGGATATTCTTGTGAGTTCATTGTCCTATATATTTACATGAACGAATGAAGGAAAAGTGAAAACTCATGATGATTCATAATAATGCACGACAGGTGAACAATGCAGGGGTATCATTCAATGAACTGCAAGAGAACTCGGTGGAGCACGTAGAAACAGTGATGAACACCAACTTCTACGGCCCAAGGTTGCTCATTCAGGCTCTCCTCCCCCTCTTTCGTCCTAATTCTTCAAATATCAATCGCATTCTCAATGTGAGCTCCAGGCTCGGATCTCTAGATGTAAGTGTAGAATAATTTTTCTTTTTTGAGCAAAGTAAGTGTAGAATAATTAATTCAGCATTGAGTTGAACATATTTTAATTGTACAGTATTGATAGTATTAATTATTAATTAATCGATTAATTATATAAACGTAGAAGGTGAGAAACTCGGAGATAAGAAAAGTTCTAGAGGCGGAGAAGCTGAAGGAGGAGGAGATAGAGGAAATAGTGACAATGTTTGCCAGAGATGTGAAGAGTGGAAAGTGGAAGAGCAGAGGATGGCCAGTATACTGGACAGAATACGCAGTGTCGAAGCTAGCTCTGAATGCGTACTCGAGGGTTCTGGCAAAACGGCTCCAAGGAAGCATAAGCGTGAACTGCTTCTGTCCCGGTTTCACCAAGACCTGCATGACAAAGGATCAGGGCACTCACTCCCCCGACCACGCTGCTTCCCTCGCCGCCACACTTGCCCTGCTTCCCCGTCATCTCTTGGCCACTTCCAAATTCTTCTTGCTTCGCTCTTCCAATCCCCCCCGCTCCCACCTTTCCAGACTGTAATTCACTCTTGGGCCTTTTGGGCATCGCCCCACTTTAGCCCAATTGAAACTAGCAATTTGGTCATTCCGTGAGATCAGGGTCAAGAATGTGGAGACTTGGATAATTTCCTTGCTCACTCTCAATGTAATCTCTGGATATTCCATATCATCCGCCTGTTTTAATTATTCATTTAGTTTAATGGAATGAGATCGTGAATTATGACATTAAAATAAATATATTATTCATTTAATTTATATTTAATAATTTAATTTTGATTTTTGAATGATATATTTATTTTAATGCCACCATTAGTAATCTTGTACCATTAAATTAAATATATAATTAAATCGATGGATATGACTGGATACGGAGGAAGGTATTAAGAGAGAGATTCAAATTTGTATAAAGAGTAATTATTAATTGAAGTAGAAAATAATGATTAATTTTATATTAGTCATTTTTATGTTTCCAGTGCAATTGGTGTGAAAAAAAAATCTAAAATACTCCTCCAGTTTTATTTATAAGATAATGAGAGAAAATTAATTTTAATTCTATTTATATGACAATTTATTTTTTTATATTCATCTTTACTTTTTTATTCTTGTTAACGCTAAAAAAATATTAAAAATAATTCTTTTTATCATTATTAGAATTAGAGGTAAAAATTTATTAAATTTTAAAACAAAATTAATGAGATTTAGGTTTTTCTTTAATTCCAATAAAATATTATAAAGTGACTTATAAATAAAATTGGATAAATAAATGCAGTAAAAAATATCTTTCTGCAGTTTGTGTCACTATCTTCTTTTGTGTTTTATTTTTACCTTGGTACCCCATCGTTTATTATGAACCCCAAAACTTACTCAATGATAAAACACAACTCAACTGCTTAATAAGAATTCTAAATCCAGTCACACTTGAACAGTAAAGAAAACATGGAAGATTTCAGAGCTTCATAATGAAAGAGACATGAAAACACAAAGGATAGAGCAACCACGCAGAACTAAAGGAGGAAAACGAATTAGGCAACGCTGTCGTAGAAGGTAAAAGACGAGAAACTCACAATCATGAGATTATGGCCAAAGGGGAGAATGGAGACACCAAGTCTAAGGAAAGCTTCGTAAAAATATCTCTTCATATCTTCCCTACCCGTCCTTTCTACCAAGTCCGAAGTATTTGGCTTATTGTAACATCTCAAAAAAATGAAAGAACTATTTCAACCTCATTGATTGTCATGCAACTCAATCCAAGGAGGACCAAGGATTGCCTAAAAGCTAATAGCGATCTCCCATTCCCTTGGAGTGGAGACGGGAAGGTGTAAAAAGCAGAAGCAAAGGTCCTCTATCAAGCAAATAAGAAAAAACTTATATACTTAAAGTACTTGTATCCAATTAAATCAAGATATGTGTATCTTTTATAGATTATTTATTTTATAATAAATTTTTGTTATTGATTAAACTAATATATTAATATCTACATGTCATGATTTGATTAGATATAAATATATTAAATATATAAGGCTAAGTACATAAGTCTTACATAGGCAAATATTTAGGGTTTATTTTCTTCCCATTTTAATTATTTTTAAATTTTTGTTGTGAATCACTTTTTAAAAATTACTTTTCAAAACAAAATAAAGGGAAAATAGGTTAGATTATATTAATTTGAAAATAATTTTAGAGTTAGATAATTGAGCAAGAGTGGTAGTTACCCTTACCAATCCACCCTAATCTCCAAACATCAAGGTAATTACTTATTTTGTCAAATTATGCAAATTGAATCCCAAGTTTTTGAAGTTTTCTAAACAAACAAATCATCTTTGCAAGCATAAATTAGAGTTTAATTAGTATATGGAAGCATGAGATCTCAAAGAATCAAAACATTTATATAAAAGTTTATAACAGTAACTCAATGTAGTAGAGAGGCATGCGTCGAGGCTTGTATGCCTTTGTGCCAGGCGTTGTGGCACATTGCACAAATTTGACAGCAAATTTTGCTATCATTTAACAGCAATAGGGGCGAACTTTTGACGATCCCATTTTTTCATCCGACATTCAATTGAGGTGCTCTAAGTATCTATAGAGAGCTTTTTTTAGCTCTAACTCATGACATTAATTTCATAATCATAACATTTCTCAATCAAAATTTGAACACCCATTTCAAAAATTCACTTCCTTTCAATTTGACTACACAACTTGGGTGTCCAGTTCATATTTCAAGTGCCAAAAGCCAAATTCACACCCTAGACTATAATTAAAAGACCAAAACGGACTTGTGCAATCTACCATATCTCACAAATAACAATCAAAACACATTTTCAACACGACATTGGATCTCATTCGGATATTTAGAGGCTTCCAAACACTCAAGGTAAGTAGTTTATGCTCTTATCTTCCTTTCTCTACCATATTTATAAGGATTTGAGTTAAGATTTGAGTTGGGAGAGAAATTTTTAGTCCATAGGAGTTATGAGTCTAAACTCATTGATTAAAATGGATATAAAGAAAGTTGTTTAGAGTATTTAAACCTAACATTAATGATTTTCAAAGTGATTGGTTCATGGGAGCCATTAATATCCGAAATTTATCATAAATAAGGTTATTGGATGTATGGCTCATTAATAGTAGTTTAATGACTCAATGATGATAATGTGAGTTAATGAAACCTAGTGAACATATTGAGTATGAATGAGTAGTGAATTATGAGATTGAAAGAATAGAGAATGAGGAATTAATGTTGATAAAATGCCAGAGTGAGATTATGATGATATTTTGTAATATGATTGCAGTGTGACTCTTGTGGCACCATTTAAGCTTGAGAAGAGCTTTGGAAGTGTTTGTTGTAAAAGGTAAACCTTTCATCTCTCAAAGGTTTACGGTAATTAGGAGAAACCTAGTTTATATAGTTGAATATTAATTGATTATTTATTGAAATGGTTGATTTGAAACATGACTTTTATTATGAACTACTGATGCAATTTGGCAATTTGTTTAACTTGTGAAATGATTTTGAAAATGGAAAACCTCTTGCTTAACACCTAATTGTGGTTGATGATTTGATTAATGGCATGTCATGGTGAAATTAATAAAATATGACATTTTGAGAGTGCACTATATAAGGTATAATGGTTGTGGAGTTTATTAGAATTAAGAAATTGATATGAATTTGTGATGAGATTGTGAATTAGGTCACATTTGCATAACATATGTAATATGTGCATAGCATGATCATGGGCAAGAGTTCACCTAGGGAGAGGAGTAGATGGTTAAATCTACATGATATTGGCAGTGACTGTTGGAATCAGGAATTCACCTTGGCACTGACCATTGAAATTGAGAGATAGCTCGTGTCCTATGATTGATTTAGGACTATCCTACTTATTCTATGAGAGACTTAAACCTAACTAGTTTATACTAGTTCATGAGGAGGTTACATTAGAGATATGACACCCTATGGTTATTAGTATTAGGGGAAATCAGATTACACAAGTGAGTAAGTTGACCCTACCCCGGTAGCTTCTTACAAGTGAAAGATTGGGTTAGTCCGTGAAAGGCATAGCCATCGAATAGCCACCGATTTCATGTTGGAGGTGGCAGGAGGGTATAAAGCTAGCATTTGATCATGCATTTAGATCCGGGCACATAGTTGTTATTATTATGATCTAGCATGTGTTAGGGGCTCATGGTTGGTTTATTATTATGACCCCATGATGTGAATTATCATTTATGTGGTTTTATGTGTGTTATGCCTGATCACATAATTGTTAGTATTGTAAAACATGGCTATATTTATCATTTATGTCATATTTACGTGTTCTTGCGTATTTGCATTTGTTCTCAATTGATATACAACTATATAGATTAGGTAAAATTTGGTTACTGAGTGGCTTTACTCACCCCTCAATTCTTAATATTTTCAGTGCCCAGCTTATTGAATCTGATTAGGGAAAAGCATATTGAGGCATAGGATTTTGGTGTAGATTTTATTTTTATGCCTCTCTACCTTGTTTATATGTATATATGTTATTAAATTGCCAACTAGGACTCATTTACCAATTTTTGAACTACTTGCATTATTATTGTGTTTAACTTGTATATTTTATGTCCTGGGTTAATGATTTTTGGGTATAAACCTTATATAGAGTCAAAATACTTGTGTAGGTAGTATTGTGTGTATTTTGGGTTGAATTGGAATGAAAATAAATGATGTGTGTAAGAATTTCCTCCCTTTTATGTTTTTATAAATTATGGGGTTGAGTGGTAAATTTGTGATTTATGTGTTTGTGGTTGAGTGTGGTGTGTTACATGAATTCTTTAGAGTTTATTAAGTGTGGTTGGAAGGTTGGTGTTGGTACTTGTGTATGAGCTGGGACACCACTGTTGTGAGTTTTATGTGAAAAACTGGTAAAATAAGTTTTGGTGTCCAACTCTTTATTTATAGAAAATGAATTTGAGTGTGAAACTTGTGCCATTAGCTAAAGCTAGGAGAAAGCTCTGTGTAGATACCAAAACTACCTCAATCAAATTTTAGATGGAGATTTAGGACAACAGTTGTCCCTCGCACTGCTGTCAAATGAAAACAGTTGTTTGCTGTCAAATTACGTACAGTGCGCCGCAACGTATGGCACAGAGATGAGTAAGCTGTGGCGCATGTCATATTTTTCTACATAGTTTCATTGTTTTGAGTTTTAAAACTCAATGTTTTAGGCCCCATATGTTTTGTGGGCTTTTGCATTTCTTCAAAACTCTGATTTGAACAATATGTTAGTTTATGGGAGAGTTTTAATTACTGGCAGATGAGATCCCTTAACAAATGGTTTTAAACTTACTTCTCCTAATTGTTTGTATTTTCCCCATCCAAAATTGGAAACTTGGTCCTATTAGTTATGGAATATGAAAACTTGATAATTCTTAATAGGCTTAGTCCTCTAATTACCTCAGTTGTGGAGCTAATAATATTTAATGGGTAAGGATATTACAGTGCCTAATGTGATTTCTTTACATTTAACCATAGGGTTAAACACTATCTAATTTAACACTTCTTCACTCTTAAAATTTAATCCCCTCACATATAAGGGTACCCATAGGGTTTTCTAACTTCCTTTAACTCCTATTAACTTCGTTGAACTTCTAACTAACCATTAATGGAACTGTATCACTCTAACCACCTCATTAATGGTAGATTTTCAAGATTTATTACCCCATACCT